TTTCTTGCTTCATTTTTTTTGGAGTAGTCTTGTTTCGTATATATATATATATATGTATGCATTCAAACTAATTATCTTATTAAAAGGGTTTGTATAACATATAATAAACTTAGTTTTAATAGGATGAAAAAAAAGAAGAAGATGAATTTAATAGTTTGGTAATAAGAAATTAAATATGATGAAAATAGATATTTGAGGAATGGAAATAATCTCATCCTATCCCAAATGATACAGTAAAATCTTATGAATTAAATGTTTAGTGGGCGTGAATGGGACTCATTAACCTAACCACCACCACTTATACTAATTTAGTATTTGGTAAGTATCCCCTTTTAATTAGTCGATACGTCACCCGCAGGTGACGATAGACTCCTTCCTTAATGCAATTACACGTGTGTATAATAAAGACAGAGAAGAGACCAAAGTATCTTCTATTCTTTGTCCAAACAGCCGTTCCGAAATCTCTCTTAATTATTCTATTAATTATTCCCTTTAAGTATATTAATAATTTATTTAATACTAACAATTCATTTCCATTTTCTCAAATTTCAAATTTCCGCTCCTGCTCTTTCTCGTCTTGTTCTTGCCGTCTTGCTTCATCTTCTGCGCTCTCTCTCTCTCTCTCTCTCTCTCTGTGTATATATTCAGGGATACAGAGTATGAGTAAGCATATGCATGTATAGAATTTCAATTTGGAAGTAGTGCATGCAATGGAAGGTGATGGAGAGAAGAAGATTAATCTTGAAGTCGAAGACATTCGACTGATAGATATTTCATCGGAGGATGATTTTCTGATTGCTTCTCCGATATTCGATTCTCTTGAAGACCTGCGCCTTTCAGGTGATCTTGAATCTCAGCTTTTCTTTCCTTTTCTCTTCGTTTCTTTGCATATATGTAACCGGCGGGTAATTTAAGTTTGATTATGTAAGGTTTATTATGTGCTTGAAGTTGATTGACAAGAACCTCCTTTTTCTTCATCTTGATTGAATTAATGCTATTGGTTTCTCGGAATTGTTTCATTTGGTAGCTGTGATGTTGTTAGATTGCTTGGTAAAGCAATTATGATGGAATTAAAGGGATATTACTCAGTTTGGTTTCCGTTAATTAAGGGTGGGTGGAACCTATGCCAAATTGCCGACCCCAAATGATTGGAACATAAGGTTTAGTTTGGTTTGGAACCTATGCCAATCGCTGGGACAGACCGGGGATTTCCCCGTTACCCTGATATGTGCTTCCATGCCAAATTCAATTTTGGCCTTCATCACTAGTAGACTCTTTGTGTTGTGAAGTAATGACAAATGCTTTTGGTTTGGGTAATTATCCTTTGGAAAGGAATTGGTATAAAATTCTCCTCCAGTTATTGCAGAATGGACTGAATTGGGTTGACTAAGTATAGAATAGATGGGAATTTGGTAAAGAACAGAGTGGAGAGTTGAATAGGAGGAAAGTTGTTTCTTGGGAACTTTGATGCCATTAGTTGTCTATCGGCTATGCATAAGCAAGATGGGCATATGGCCTTGCCATTTTACCTCTCTTCCGGTGTGACTAGGAATGCTCAGTGACAACCTCTCAATTGTCGCCGCCTGGCCTCTCTTGCTACCACGGGTAACTTGAGTTCTGGTTTGGTGGTTCCATTCAACTTGAGGGGAATTGAAACATGAATAAGGTTTCTCTGTTCATTGTACACATGGTTATATTCTGATTGGGATTGACTAGGACAGCGATTTAACAATGAACTTAAAAATTGAAATGGCAGAGTGAGTTTGTTGTTGTTTTGGTATATACTCCTTTCCCCCTTCTGCTCTTCATACTCTCGATTGTTGCCTAATACAGTCTATGCTTGAAACTCCTCTTTGCAGTGACATTGGAGAATACAAAGCAGCATGAAGGGTACAAGCTGTTTGGGGCTTCCAGTTCTCTGGAAGTAAAAACTGCTGCAGAAGTGCTTCTGCCAAAGGAACAAAAGCATTTATTTTCTGAATCCATGGAGCCAGCAAGACCAAGTTACATGCGCAAAAGTTTAGCTTGGGATAGTGCCTTCTTCACTAGTGCAGGTACTCATTTATGTTCAAAAGCAACATAAAATCTTTAGAACCTTTCTTTCGAACTACCTTGTTTTATAGAGTTGCAGTTTATTAAATTATGGATACGTTCCTGCAATTTTTAGGTGTTCTGGATCCGAATGAGTTGTCTATCATAAATAAAGGATTCAACACCGCTGAAGCCCATCTATTACCCGGCATTCAAGAAGATATGCAGATGTGGAGATCTGACACGGAATCCACTTTGGACAGTGATAATTTCTCTTTGGAAAGCTTCGAGCTCGATCTNAACCGGCGGGTAATTTAAGTTTGATTATGTAAGGTTTATTATGTGCTTGAAGTTGATTGACAAGAACCTCCTTTTTCTTCATCTTGATTGAATTAATGCTATTGGTTTCTCGGAATTGTTTCATTTGGTAGCTGTGATGTTGTTAGATTGCTTGGTAAAGCAATTATGATGGAATTAAAGGGATATTACTCAGTTTGGTTTCCGTTAATTAAGGGTGGGTGGAACCTATGCCAAATTGCCGACCCCAAATGATTGGAACATAAGGTTTAGTTTGGTTTGGAACCTATGCCAATCGCTGGGACAGACCGGGGATTTCCCCGTTACCCTGATATGTGCTTCCATGCCAAATTCAATTTTGGCCTTCATCACTAGTAGACTCTTTGTGTTGTGAAGTAATGACAAATGCTTTTGGTTTGGGTAATTATCCTTTGGAAAGGAATTGGTATAAAATTCTCCTCCAGTTATTGCAGAATGGACTGAATTGGGTTGACTAAGTATAGAATAGATGGGAATTTGGTAAAGAACAGAGTGGAGAGTTGAATAGGAGGAAAGTTGTTTCTTGGGAACTTTGATGCCATTAGTTGTCTATCGGCTATGCATAAGCAAGATGGGCATATGGCCTTGCCATTTTACCTCTCTTCCGGTGTGACTAGGAATGCTCAGTGACAACCTCTCAATTGTCGCCGCCTGGCCTCTCTTGCTACCACGGGTAACTTGAGTTCTGGTTTGGTGGTTCCGTTCAACTTGAGGGGAATTGAAACATGAATAAGGTTTCTCTGTTCATTGTACACATGGTTATATTCTGATTGGGATTGACTAGGACAGCGATTTAACAATGAACTTAAAAATTGAAATGGCAGAGTGAGTTTTTTGTTGTTTTGGTATATACTCCTTTCCCCCTTCTGCTCTTCATACTCTCGATTGTTGCCTAATACAGTCTATGCTTGAAACTCCTCTTTGCAGTGACATTGGAGAATACAAAGCAGCATGAAGGGTACAAGCTGTTTGGGGCTTCCAGTTCTCTGGAAGTAAAAACTGCTGCAGAAGTGCTTCTGCCAAAGGAACAAAAGCATTTATTTTCTGAATCCATGGAGCCAGCAAGACCAAGTTACATGCGCAAAAGTTTAGCTTGGGATAGTGCCTTCTTCACTAGTGCAGGTACTCATTTATGTTCAAAAGCAACATAAAATCTTTAGAACCTTTCTTTCGAACTACCTTGTTTTATAGAGTTGCAGTTTATTAAATTATGGATACGTTCCTGCAATTTTTAGGTGTTCTGGATCCGAATGAGTTGTCTATCATAAATAAAGGATTCAACACCGCTAAAGCCCATCTATTACCCGGCATTCAAGAAGATATGCAGATGTGGAGATCTGACTCGGAATCCACTTTGGACAGTGATAATTTCTCTTTGGAAAGCTTCGAGCTCGATCTATTTGAAGATATAAGAGCATCCATCCATAAATCCTATAAAAAGTCCAATGTTGCAAGTGCAAGTCTCAAACAGGCAGGCATACAGAATATCCTCTGTAAGTCAACTTCAACTCAGTAATTGTTGCTTGGATGGTAAAAGCCAATTTTACCCGTTGTTTTTGTTTTTGTAAGCAATACAAATGCAGTTCTCTCAAAGAGTAAGTCCTACAACAATTGTTGAAGTGGCTGATTCAAAATTTCAATTACTTCTTGGTTCATAGTCTTTTGGATGTGTATCACGAGTCCTACACAGGACTGTTAGGCTTACTTGGATAGAGTATCATATTTTATACCGCTGGCACCTTGTACGTATTGCTCGTATCCGTTTCTCATAAACTGCTACTTAATGACTTGGTTGCTTCTTTTCAGCCTCCAAGAAAGCTGATGTTGGATATCAAAACAAGGTATGCACCAGTGAAAGTCATCTTTCGTTGTAACTGTGTGGATATTTGCTGAAGAATTAAGCCCTGTTCTTTAAAAATTTCAGTTGAAATCCATACCAGCTTCCAAAATGCAAGGCAGCAAATTGCAAGGATCAGTTAAAATAAAAAAGGAGGCCTCCATTCACCGACAAATACCACCACAGGCATGTGTCAGTAGAACGGAATGAAATGATCACTTTTATGTTTTTGCATCCACTGCTTAACCTTGCATGATCTCTCTGCCTAATTTAAATGGCCACATAGCTGATTATAAATTACATGTTTGAATAATGGCTTACCATCAAGAAGGTACACTGCCCCATTAAGATGGTCTTGCATGATTCGTTTGAGCACTATATGTTAGAAATCGAATAGATCAATGGGAAAACTCTGTGATATGATATAGCTGGCTTGATTTTGTTTATGACCAATAATGCAGACTACCAGGAGTGGAGAATCTGATTCGTTGTCCCTTAAGCCACCCAAGACGGGCCAAATGAACCCCGTATCATCAGCAGGACAAACAAATAGGTCTTCAATGGGGGAGTATCATGTTAAAAGGGAAAATAAATCCACAAATAGAGGGTCTGGTAAGAACTGCTGGTTAAGGATTGATTTATAAGCTACTTTCTTCTNATGGGGGAGTATCATGTTAAAAGGGAAAATAAATCCACAAATAGAGGGTCTGGTAAGAACTGCTGGTTAAGGATTGATTTATAAGCTACTTTCTTCTGCTTCTAAGTAGAAACTGCAAATATTACAGGCCAAGGCTCGATGGTGTCCAAAAAATCTGGTTTGGGCTATTCACGTGGTCCTACTACTAGCTCTACACCACCCCATAAGTCATCTTCTTTAGTTTCACTCTTTGCATCCAAGGATTCAGTAGATTCATGTTCCTCAGGTGACAGATCCGCTGATGCTTCATCTTCTAAGTCTTTCTCAAACTTCCTGAGAAGAAAAACGTGTTCCAGATACAGTAAACTGTCTCCTGGTTCAACCTTCAGCACCCCTCTCACACAGTCAGTCAGAACCAAAAGTGGCTTGAAAAATTCTACTTCTTCAATCACTTCATCATCAATGACAAACCATTCCTATACGATCTCACCTGCTAGCTCCTTTGATGGATGGTCCTTAGAATCATCATCATCAGCTTCTGCTGCCAAACAGGGACCTCATAACTTGGATGCCAGTCTTGATTCTACTCTCACAGGCGTCTCAGTAGGAACTGATGCCACTCAAGCAAAAGATTTGCAGAGTCCTTCACCTGATCTATTTTCGGTTTTTCAAGAAATTCAGGAAACTAGTTTGCCAAGTCAATGTCCACACAAAACTTTAAGAGCAACTACTCCTGTTCCTCTTGCATCATCAGAGAACTTCATACCTTCAGGTCTTCAAATGCCATCACCAAAAATGGGGTTTTTTGATGAGGTTAGTTTTAGTTNGGAAACTAGTTTGCCAAGTCAATGTCCACACAAAACTTTAAGAGCAACTACTCCTGTTCCTCTTGCATCATCAGAGAACTTCATACCTTCAGGTCTTCAAATGCCATCACCAAAAATGGGGTTTTTTGATGAGGTTAGTTTTAGTTCGTTATGGTGATGATGGTATATGTTGGTAGTCTCATGCCCGCTATAGGTGTATTTGTTCTGGTGAAGCTAGTATTTAACCGTATGAGGTTTCTCTGGTTGTNTTCGTTATGGTGATGATGGTATATGTTGGTAGTCTCATGCCCGCTATAGGTGTATTTTTTCTGGTGAAGCTAGTATTTAACCGTATGAGGTTTCTCTGGTTGCCAGGAGAAATCTATGCTGCCAAAGGTAAGAGGAAGTCTGCAATTTCAATTTAGAGCACAGAATCCTGTAAATAATATTGATGGTGCTGCTAGTAGAAAAGGGCCAGGTGAGCTTCAACCAGCTAAGACTTTACCAGAGACTGGGAAGATAAGAACAGGCGTGCTACATCCTGCTTCGGGCGTCAGGCCTAGGTATGCTGCAGGGTTTCAAGCGCTAAATAATGCACCACCAAAAAGGTCTGGCACGTTTGCAACCATGAGATATAGCTTAGGCACATCTTCAATTGCTCATACTGCTATATCTCCTCCAGTAGACACAGAAAATTGCTTGAAAATCAGAAGAGTTGGTGCTGAGCAAAATGCTACTAGAAAAGTTGGCCAGAGTTCTAGTTTGAAGTCAAAAGGGGTAAGAAACAAAGGGATATTGACCAATAGAAAGGGAATAGAGAATAAGAGGCAAAAAGATGAGACTGGCATCCACAGCGATGCTTTGAACTCGTCTAAGAAAAAACAAGAAGAGGCCAGCCAGCACCATCTTGAGAACAATCTGCATTTATATCCTGAAAACGAGAAGAAAACCCTAGCTGGTTTTGAAGATCAAGTTAATGGTTTACGCAGGTATTTCGAGATCATTGATCTGAACAAGGATGTGGTGATGGAACTCAAAGGAAAAAGTGGCAATTACCCTGAAAGTCACAGTACACCCATTTTCTCATCCTGTAATGGGGATAACCTTCTTTTTGATCGGCAGCAGAATTCACCAATCATATCCTTGAATCATAGTCCACTTTCTGTTCCCACAACTGATGAGGTTCTACCCAGCACAAGAACTCCATTGGCTGACAGAACTTCTGTCTGCAATAGCGGTGAATTATTTTTGTTGTCATTAGATTCAACAAGAGAAAAGACGGTCGAAAAGGCATCAATGTTTCTCTCTCCTGAAGGCACTCATAGAAAGAACACCTGAGCCATTGAGGCTTCCTGTACTCCCTCAAGCTGTGAGCATCTCTATTATCAAAAATGTGGTAAGTGATTCTTAAAGTCATCTCTCTCTCTCAAATGTTTATTATATTCGGATTATTATGTGGACACTCATGTTGTTTGATAGTTTTAATGAGTTCTTATTTTCATCTACAGTGTTGATGCAGGATGTATGCTTCTAGAGGCGGAGCTGTTTATGTTGGAGAACCAAATACATAGGATTTTAATACAGGATTTCGGGGGTGGAGGCAGATGGAATATCTATGCGTTTGAAGTTTTATGCATGAACAAGTGCATGCAATAAGTGCGCAATACCACCAAAATAAGCACAAGGTCTGTTTCATTAGTTTATGCTTTTATGTAGCATTCTTGTTATACTCCTCACTTCCTTCATGGGGTAAAATTCAATTGTCTATGCTGTTGACTCAAAATTGATAGAGTTTTAGTGTGTTTATCAGTAGCAGTTACTAAACACAGATTGCATTTCACATTATTTTGTGTCTTTATTTGCTGGCATGGCTGCTTCTGGTTTTCTTTTATTGGGGGTTGGCAGATACATTAGGAAGTCAAAACATTGTACACGTTTTGGGAGAGGCTGTCGCATGTTTGATTAGTCTTTTTTCGAAGCTTACTTACAGCTTTATATCTTTTATACACAGCCGGTACCAAATCCATGTAAAGGTAAGTGGCATTAGGTAGCTGACACCTAGCGTAAAACTTGTCAANTTTTTCGAAGCTTACTTACAGCTTTATATCTTTTATACACAGCCGGTACCAAATCCACGTAAAGGTAAGTGGCATTAGGTAGCTGACACCTAGCGTAAAACTTGTCAGATCTAGTATAATACGAAATCACACCTTTGAATGAGCGAAATTTTTTTAAGTGCAAGTAGAAAAGTTAGCCATGGCATGATTGCTTGGAGACACCATTTCTCCGTCTATATTGTGAAATGAAATTCCGAACTGTATAATGAGTAATGTCATTTCAAACTCCAATTGTTGCAGATAACTCTCTCTCTCTCTCTCAAAATTCACCGTTTCAAACTCCAATTGGACCTTTTTGTTCCAAGGGTTTGGGCGGATCTAAAGAGGGGAGTATAAAAAAATAGTCCAATTCATTGTCATAGCCCATACGTGGATGCCTTTCTCAACTCAAGACTTTCTCAAACACACGTATAAGGGCTTCATCAAACCCATGTATAAGGGTTTCATCAAAACCAGTCTGATNGTGGATGCCTTTCTCAACTCAAGACTTTCTCAAACACACGTATAAGGGCTTCATCAAGGGGTGGGCTTCATCAAACCCTTCTCCCAAATTCCATCCAAACATGCTATAAGTGGTGGTTAAGAGATACATCTTCCTCTCTCCCGGTTCGATCGAGAAATTGATTTGAATATCAAAATGTAAGCCAGGATGGTTATTGCGACCAATTAACATTCGTGTTTGATGTTTTTGCTACGAAATGATTGTCGTGTTAAACAACCATACCATTTCATCTAACCGGTGTTGAACAACCATTTAAACTTCTAGAGAATAATATAACAAATTATTTATCTAATTATGGAATGGTTCATTTATTTTTCACTCTGTAGAAAATTTATGGTTTTAGCTAATATCACCAAATACTTGTCCTACACCAAGGTCTTTTTCTTACAACAAATNGAGAATAATATAACAAATTATTTATCTAATTATGGAATGGTTCATTTATTTTTCACTTTGTAGAAAATTTATGGTTTTAGCTAATATCACCAAATACTTGTCCTACACCAAGGTCTTATTCTTACAACAAAGGGTGATTTGTAAAGATCTTTAGCGACTATAATTGGCCCTATAACAACGAGAATAATTTTCATACTTACCAGATCATGTTAAGCCGTTCAAGGTACGTACCGATGCTTCAGACTATGCCATCGGTTGAGTTCTTATGCTAGCTGCTTGCTTACCGCCGCACATATTACTTGATGAGCAACCCATTCCTCTCACCTAGTATCTCTTGATGAACATTTTAGTGTAACAAAATCAAAACTAATTTCAAACACCACCATGACAAGATCTATCAGAATCTCAAATTCATCATAAACACAGGACGAGTTCTTATACAACATGACAAAGAGGAACAAAGAACATTAAAAAAATTAAAAAAAAAAAAAAACCATGTGTTTCTACATTTTATTTAGGCATTGAAGCCAAGCTAATGCACTATCCAACTAACACATAAAGTGCATATATAATGCCCGGAAGATATCCCAGTATCGTCAGCAACAAACAAATCCAGAATTCTATCTGCAAGTCCAAAATATCAAAGGGCTTAAAGAATCAGTAACACTATTTGGACCCAAGTTGCTTGCTTAATCAATTACAACCATTAGACTGATAGAGGATCATGAAGAACACTCAACTCAGTATCAATCCAATAACTATGCGTGATTAAATCAACAAATTAGGTCAATAAATTCTGAAAATTTATCAAGCCAGAGTTGCGTTCGAACATCGGTAGCAGGATTCAAAATCTGACGAATCACCAAAGAGAAATTACTATCAAACAATAACTATACAATGGGGTTTTGTCAAAAGTCTGGGGGAACATGGCCCCTATTCTATAACTACTTGTTAAGCTACCCTTTACTTTAAAAATTTATACTGTTATACAAGTGTACTAGTTATTGTCTGTGTCTGAAGGTACAGAGTAATAAAAAATAGTAAACAATAAACATATTTATGATTTATATCCAAAATNTGGTGATTTGTAAAGATCTTTAGCGACTATAATTGGCCCTATAACAACGAGAATAATTTTCATACTTACCAGATCATGTTAAGCCGTTCAAGGTACGTACCGATGCTTCAGACTATGCCATCGGTTGAGTTCTTATGCTAGCTGCTTGCTTACCGCCGCACATATTACTTGATGAGCAACCCATTCCTCTCACCTAGTATCTCTTGATGAACATTTTAGTGTAACAAAATCAAANCTGCTTGCTTACCGCCGCACATATTACTTGATGAGCAACCCATTCCTCTCACCTAGTATCTCTTGATGAACATTTTAGTGTAACAAAATCAAAACTAATTTCAAACACCACCATGACAAGATCTATCAGAATCTCAAATTCATCATAAACACAGGACAAGTTCTTATACAACATGACAAAGAGGAACAAAGAACATTAAAAAAATTAAAAAAAAAAAAACCATGTGTTTCTACATTTTATTTAGGCATTGAAGCCAAGCTAATGCACTATCCAACTAACACATAAAGTGCATATATAATGCCCGGAAGATATCCCAGTATCGTCAGCAACAAACAAATCCAGAATTCTATCTGCAAGTCCAAAATATCAAAGGGCTTAAAGAATCAGTAACACTATTTGGACCCAAGTTGCTTGCTTAATCAATTACAACCATTAGACTGATAGACGATCATGAAGAACACTAAATCCAGTATCAATCCAATAACTATGCGTGATTAAATCAACAAATTAGGTCAATAAATTCTGAAAATTTATCAAGCCAGAGTTGCGTTTGAACATTGGTAGCAGGATTCAAAATCTGACGAATCACCAAAGAGAAATTACTATCAAACAATAACTATGCAATGGGGTTTTGTCAAAAGTCTGGGGGAACATGGCCCCTATTCTATAACTACTTGTTAAGCTACCCTTTACTTTAAAAATTTATACTGTTATATAAGTGTACTAGTTATTGCCTGTGTCTGAAGACACAGAGTAATAAAAAATAGTAAACAATAAACATATTTATGATTTATATCCAAAATCAAATCACAAACATAAAAAAAAAATAAAAAAAATTTAAGTATCAATTTGTAGTGGGGGTGAGAGGTGGTGGACGACAGTGGTGGTGGTAAGAAACGGTGATGGTTGTGGTGGGTGACAATGACCGGGGTGGCAGAGGCGGCGGCGACGACGGTGGGGGGTGACGGTGGTGGTGGTGGGGGTATAGGTAGTGGTGAGGTAATTTCAAACATTATTTTTTTAAAAGTATTTATAAGCAATAATTTCTAAAAGTACTTTTAAAAAAGTTACTCCAAACACTCCTTTAGGGGCCTATTTTCCTATTAAATTTAGGGTGTTAATATTAGCTGTTAGATTAACTTTAAAGTAAAATTTAAAACGATCTCAACCGTAAATAGTAAAAATCATTTTGTTTATCTTTTGAGATTTAAATTGTAAGCCACTTTATTATATAGATTATATAAGTATTTATCAAATAACTCCTCTCATTTGTGGTCCGTTTTGGATGATCCATTCACGTGATTGTTTTTTGTTTTATATATGAGAAGGGAGATGTANATGTTAATATTAGCCGTTAGATTAACTTTAAAGTAAAATTTAAAACGATCTCAACCATAAATAGTAAAAATCATTTTGTTTATCTTTTAATTTGAAAGTCTCTAAACTCTGGTATTTATACCATTTTAAACTACCGACTATCATAAGAAATTAGATTATGAGAGAGGTATAATTAGGGATGGAGCCAAAAATTTATGTTTACGGGGAACAAAGCTTATGCACAAAAACTAAGACCAACACCATAAACCATATTTATATTTAGATTTAGATTGAAAAATTTTCAATCCACAAAGTTATGTCTAACAAAGAAATAATTTTCAAAGTTATTCTATTTTTTCATTTGAACGGATTAGGGAAATAATAAGTATTAAGTTTTAATATTGTTACTTGTTTTAATTTGAATACTTTATATTGGGAATGTATCACATTATGATCATTTACTACATTCAATATTAAATCTTACTACTATTCTAATGGCTATAAAATATTAGACCTAAATCCCAATANGTATCACATTATGATCATTTACTACATTCAATATTAAATCTTACTACTATTCTAATGGCTATAAAATATTAGATCATAATGTTCTTGACCTAAATCCCAATTACATAGCTAATAAGGTATTTACATTCTAAAAGTCGAGAGCTCTTTATGAAAAATTGAATGAAA